ACTGGCTTGTCAGCCTTGATGTATGGCTCAGGCCCCAAACATTTCCACCTAAAATCTTTTTTGGTAATATTTGATAAAATCGCATTTTCTGTCTTTCTGTGGGAGTGGGAATTCCTTGTCCTTTCAAGTTTTATATCTATATATATGCATTATGCAAATTATACATGTATACACTTGAACCAGAGGAGCTGGATTCTCAAAGTTCTCACACAATTGACCTCCAAGATCAAGAAACTAAACCCAAAGAGGAGTGTTTTGAAGAATGGAAAAAATTTAGCTATCTGAGAGATTTACAGGGGGACCTATTGGTAGTAAAGACTAGAAGGAGATTAACTTGAGCACTTTGGGAGAGCCATTTTTTTTAAGGCAATACAAAAATGAGGTTTATTGAGGAAAGATAGGATTACAGAGCAAGAGAAAGATATAGGTTTACAGAGCATGAGTTTTTTTTTAATAAACAAAGAACATTTATTTATTTTTCACTAAGACTTTATATTGAGGACATAACTAAACTGTGTTACAATCCCCCACCCCATGCTGAAGGGTTAGTACAGTGAATGTTGTAAAGCAGATGTGAACAGTTTGAAGGATTGGAAATAACATTAACTGACAAAGAACAACTTCCATCTAAATCATCATAAAAATGTTTAAGTAAAAAAAAGGAAAAGGGGGGCAATGAGGGTTTCAGATTGAACAAGATCTTCACATTTCATCTAATATATTCAACGTTGGCTAGAGTGTAACCAAATGGAAACAGGATTACTATAATACAAAACTTCCACTACAGCACGCTGTACACACCTGTGTTCCAAGCCCACCCCCAACCCCTGATGCTTCCAACTCAATTATTTCCTGGCCTGTTGAGCCTGCTGACGAAGGAGCGTGTAGATCTTCTCTTTCATCCAGTCTTTCTTATAAGGCTGGTATGTCTGGGTAGCCACTCAGTAAACCAGGCAGCTGAGGTCTGTCCGATCATGGGTAAAATCAAACAACTGACTGACATCATATGTGCTGGAGGGACTGCTGGGATTCATTCTCTTCAGATGTTCTTCATACATTTTGCAGATCCCTTCCATGTACTCATTCACAGATTCATAGCGTATAAGTTCTGCCTTCTGGCCTCCTGGTAGGCTGTACCAGCGCGGTGGTGTGAGACATCTCGCCAATTCTCTTCACTGCAGCTGCTACCGACACTGCCACTGCTGCACGAGCTTAGCCGCGACGCCACCAACAGCCAATCCCAGAGTATGATATTAACACATATGCTACAGATGATGACCGGACCCATTGTCGCAGCAAAGGGAAAGCCAAAGGAAGGACAAAGAAGGCACCTGGAGAGACTTGAATACCTTGCTGGAGATTCTGGATTTGATGCTATAATAAATTGGTTAGCATCACTGGCTGTTTGTAACTGGAGAGATATTATACTATCAGATATGTGTTTAGAGTTTCCAGTGGCAGTCGGATAGGGGGAAAAAAGAATTGAAGGGGAAGAGCCTGGAAGAGAGGAGACAAGTAGGAGATGATGTCAGCATTCCAGAAAAGAAACGATGGGGATCTGACAGGTGGCTCTGGTGTAAGCTGTAAAGAGGATGAGCAGCAACTGTGTGATACAGTCAGCGTGATGATAATATAAAGCACCCTCCAGGGGGCCTCCTGCTGAGCCTGAGCTCCCTGGACAGAGTTGTTGCCTTCAGGGAAACTGACAATGGAACACAGAAACTTGGGAAGGCCATTTGATCTGACCATTGAGGTGGAGCTTATGATGGAAGTTTCATTTCTATGCTAGGAGTTGGTTATTGTGTGATGAGCAAAGATAAAGTGGTGAAGAAAGTAAGAAATGTATAATGGAAAGAAAGGAGCAATGTGTAATAATTCTACCATCACCACAAACATAATTTTGGGTAAGTCAGTTTTTCTATTTGAGCATCAGTTTATTTATCTGTTGAACTAACATGGGATGTTTACTTTGGGCTGAGTCCAGTGATGAGATTAAATGAATTATTTCCTTTTTTACCCCTAAAATGAGCCCTATGAAATTCATATTATTCTCCCAATGTTACAGATGAGGACCTGAGACACACAAGGCAACTTGCCCAAAGTTACAAAACTTGGGAAGAATTGGTATTTTAGGCTTGATGTTTTAATTTCCACAGTTCTTTGAACTGTGATATAGGAGAGGAGGGCAGGAGATTCAGTGTCTCAGGGTGGGAGGTGCCATAAAGAGTGAAACCTGCAGGGCTTTTCAAGCTTGGGCAGCTGGCTCAGGTGGCATTGTTTGGGTTCCTCCCCCTAGATCAGAGGCCTTTGAGAAGAGAAGAGATTAGAAATCTGTGATAACAAAAAGCTGCTCTTTTCCAAGAGAGGTCGTCAATGCCCAGACTCTACCAACATCAAGAATTAAACCCTATTCAGACTCCAGTTTTAAGGAGGTGGAGACAGGTTTTTGTGTGAAATTGTAAGAGGTAGGGCTGGTGGGGGGGGGGGGATTGGAAAGAAACTTAAAACTGGAGAGGAAGAATTTATCATTTCAATAAATGTGGAAGTTCAGCAAGGCTGGATTGACAGCGCAAATTGTATGGGAGAAAGGACGGGGAGAAGAGGGGTAAAGGAAACGACTCTGAGCCTCTTTACTAATTCAAACAGTTTTCAGCATCTCTTTGTTAGTTATCTCATCAAAGCCCAGTTAGTTGCTGAATCCATCCTTTTCTTGTAGTTCCAAAATACCAGGAACAGCCAATGCACCAACATTCACCCTCGTTTCTACCATTTTGCTGTCTCAGTCATCATAGGTAACAGTTTTACCAAATGTTTTGTTGCAGCATAACAAAGGATGCCAACTTTCCCCTCTGTAAAATTTTTTTCCTTGCCACTCCTCCTTTCTAACAAGTAGGAAAATAGAAGTGGATTGGGAATAAAAAAAATTTTTTATTAATGTAAGGGAATCCTTGCACAGCCTAAGGATGATAAATGCCATAAATTTAAGAGTTTAACCCAAGCCTTTGAAACTGAGATCCAAATAGGGGGAAAATGAGCAATTAATTTTTTAAACTTCAAGGAGCTAATAATCTGATGAGGAATAAACAAGTTTTTCTAGAATACAAACAACTAACATATGCAGTGAGGGGAAGGAGAGTAGAGTTTGGGAATCAAAGGGTATAAATAATAAATAAAACAAGGGAGGGGCTTTGCAAGTACAAATGATCACATAACCACAGGACCAGCCCAAACTGGCCCTACTCTGTTGGTAACAGAATGTCAAGTTACCTTGTAGGTGTAACAGAACCAAAACTATTAACATAAGTCGTATAGGCCGGGCACATACAATAGAAGTAGCTTCGACCCCTAACAACATCTGGAACCTCTCCCACCCCTCTACCCCTAGAAACTAAGAAAATGAGAAGACCAGTCCATTATCAGAACCTGACTGTCAGAACTCTTTCAGAAGCAAGGGGTTCATTGGCCAGAAAGATCCGAGGCTAAAATCTTCCTCAACATACCTTACTGCTAATGGTCAAATTTGAAGCCCTCCAATCAGACCCTAAATGTTAGCAAGCCAACATTCCTAAATCTTTTCCCTTGCCCTCTGACCCCTTAAAACTTGCCCCAGACCCCAACTGGGGAGAGAGGTTTGAGCTGCATCTCCTGTCTCCTTGCTAGCCAGCCTCACAATGAAGCCTTTCTTTTCTCAAAAGCTGGTGCCATGGTATTGGCTTCTATGTACTTTGGGCAGTGAGCCCATTTGCTCAATAACAGTCATGAATTTAAGAGTATAATTAACTCACACATTAGCACTGAGCTCCAAAAAATAAACAAGAGGGAAAAGGTCTTGGTCAGCTTCCTGTGAGGTCAATGGGGATTAAATATGTTATTTGTGTGAAAAAGCAAACAATTCCTAGGGCTCTAGGTTTGCATTCATCAATTCATCTATTCCAAAATTTTAGCCAGGACTATTGAGCAGTTGTTGGAAACTGTTGCTGAATGGATGGGGGTTTGTATGCTGGTTGAGAAGCAAAGTATCTTTATTCTTAGAGGAACTTTTGTCTCATTTCCATGATTCTTCTTGGGCTTCCAGGAGATTAAGAAGAACAACTTCCTTGTAAATTTATGATTATTTCAAAAAAAGTTACTTAGTTTTTAAAAAAAAAAAAACATTCAGAGTGGCAGATTATCTTCCAGAAAGTTGACAACATTAAGTATTCCTCACCGCCTACCTTGTGTGTAAGAGCCTCCTATATCGGCCTGGACCCAGGCTGGGTACCACCATTCCTTTTAACTTTGTCAATCTGCCAATATCCTGGGAGCAGGCTCCTAATCCCCATTCCTTTTAACTTTTGCCAATCTGATAAAGGCATAATGTGTCTTTTCTTATTTATACTTTGATTATTGGTGAGGAAGAACATTGTAGCCTACCACAGATGCCATTTGATTTCCTATCTGATGCACATTTTTCTGTTGGTCTGGTAGTGTCTTGTTACTGATTTATAAACACTTGAAAGCATTTGTAAGCATTCATATAATGAATATATTAATGCGCTGTCCTGCACATATATTGTGAATATATCCCCCACTCAGGCAAGTTTCCTCCCAAAGCTCTTTGAAAGATCTTATGTGGTTCATCCTTTGACTTTTTAAAGACTCAAATAACATTAGAAATAGCATTTGAAATGTCTAGGTCCTTTTGTGGTGACTTTATTGCAAATGTCTGAGAGGCTGTGTCAGTATCCATTCAGGAAAAATGGACAATAGTCTTCAAGGACCTAAGAGGGTTTGCCATCACCTTTTTATAATTCTGTCAGAATCTGTACGAGTCCCAGGTCCTCATTGCACTGGTGAGCAGTGAGTGCTTATGGGGGTGTGTGTGGGCGAGGACATGGTTTGAGCTCTGTGGTTCTCACACCCCACTCATGCAGCTTGTGATAGTCCTTGCCAAGATATCAAAAGACCACAGAGGTGCATGAGGACCTCAGGCCCTCAGACTGGTAATTTGCAAACACTAGTCATGACTGCACAGTTGAGAGTCAGCTATCTTTTCCCACTTCTTCTAGCTGGCTTCATGCAAACAAATCCCATGTCGGAGAAAATGAAGGTGAGTGAGCTCCAGGGAGAGCACGGTAGGGCTCAAATGTTACTTCTTCTGTCCTGCATCTAGATCCTGCCCTGCAGTCTTCTTTTAAGACTCTGACCTCTGCTTTCTTCTTCTTTGCAGATTGCCCTAAACTTTTCTCTTTGAATCATCTTTACTTCTATGAATGGGTGGTGTTTGAGTTGCATATGGTTGGGGAAGAAATTCTCCTTGCTGTAGCCCTTTCTCCTCTCCTTCTCCAGGTGGAAGCCCCCTGGGAACCCCTCCATCTGCATCAGTATTTGTATCAGAGCTGAGTCTGAGGCGTGGGACAGCAATAGGCGTCAGAGTAGGTGGGAACTGACATGGTTTGGAGGAGAGGCTGAGTTGAGCCATCTCAGATGCAACTCGGCAAGAACCACATGCAGAGGAGAAAAAAATTAATATGGAAGTTTTAGGGATGGATAAAGTGATAAAGTTATCAGAAAAACATAAAACACATGGAAAAAATAATTGGAGGCCTAAAACGACTGGATTTGGAGTCAGGTGTCTTGGATTCTGGCCTCAGTTCTGTTCTCAGTTCATGGCTCTGTTGTCTTGTTGATAAAACGTGCGTATGGCAGTGGAAGGGGAAATTCAGGAAAGGACTGTAATGAAGGAGATGACTTGGAGGCAAAGAGGAATCATGACATTAAGGACAAGCAAACGTTCATTCACAGACAGGTTACCACTTTTGGCCTTGGAAAGTCACTTCACTTCTGTTAGCCTCTGCTTAGTTATAAGTTTATGGGTGACAATATCTACTTTATGGATGGGTGAGCAACAATTATTAGCATTTAATGTGTTCTACAAAAGGCAGCTCTAGTGAGATCTCCCCACTGCTGCCCCTCTAAAATTAACTAGATAACCTTCTGGGTGACTTTCTATTTTGAGAACTGATATGGTTTTGGTATTACCCAGTGCTGCCTAATTAGGTGTGGAGACTTAGGACTGTAGAATTTGCTTAATAAAAGCTGAGTCTGGAGGTATTTGAGATACATCATGCAGACTTGAATAAATTTGGAACAGCAATCAACATCAGGAGTTAACTGGACTGAAAGGAGTCTTCAAGTTCAGTCTGTCTGAGCTCCTGTACCCTAGTACCCAACATGATGTCAGTAATTTATAGGAACAGATGTTTTCATATAATATTCTTTATATACGTGCCTCAGTTTTGCTGGTTCATGTATGTGCATATAAATTTAGGGAAAGGTGTAAAAACCTGCATAGGGAAAACATCTTTCTTCCCAAGAGTAGGAAGTGAGTAGCTATGACATGGTATGCTAGTGATAGAATCAGTGGACTTACAGAGTTGGAAAAAGTTGGATTTTGTTTTGTTTTGCATTACACCTTCTCTGGATAGGGGCAGATGGTGTTTGATTAAAATCTTTTCTAGTCCACTGCATTTCTAGGAGTCTATTTTAATCCCAGTTTAAGTCTGGACCTTTCTTATCAGATAATGCCCTTCTCTCCTTTCTCTAGACAGTTTCTTTCTTCTTTTTTCTCATTGGATGGTTTGGATATATAGCTTCCTTTTCCCCTGTAGTCCATGAGCAATTTGTAGCACCTTCCCCAATATAGGGGAAAGATAGGATCAGGATATGCCAGTGAGCACTTGTGGCATCAGTACACCTTGGGTACCGCATGGACCCTGGAAGGATAGGGACAGAAGAGGAATAAGAGGAGTACTCTCTTGCAGTGGCATTTAACATAAGAACATGCAATGAAATTTTCAGGTAGAACTTATTTCTGCTATGTAGAACTTAACAAATGTTAGGTGGAAGTCTATTCAAATATGTTAAGGAGATTTGAGAAGGAATGGGATAGAAGATGGAGCTGATAATGAAAGTGGGTATTACACACCTGGAGCACAATGGGGTGAGGCGTGGGATGTGTGATAGGTCAGACGATGCCAGACAGATTTCAGTGACCGACTTGCAGATGGACTTCAGGGCTCTCCATCTCCTTTCTTGGAAAAGGAGATCTGTTCTTTTTCTTGTAGATCTCCTTTCTACAAAAAAACTGGAGTTTCACAGTATTGGCTTACAAGACCATCATATGAGTGAGTGATGGGAGAAAGAAAATTATTCAAGGTTGGGATAATACTAGATTCTAGAATCTTAAACCTAGAAGGCCCCTTGATGTTCTAATAGTAACCTAGATGAATGTCTTCATTTTACTCCTGGGGAAACTGAGGGCCAGGGATGAGAATTGCCCAGGTTCACAAAGGAATTTAACAATAGAGCTGTCTTCTGATTCCCAGGCCAGAGTTCTTTCCACTCTACCATGCTGATGAGTGGGGTCAGAAGTCAGAAGACCTGAGGAAAGGAAAGTAACTAGGCCATCCTAAGATAGTTGAGCAATTTAAAACCTGCCCTTATCTAAGAGAGTCCAGGCAGAATGCTTTCAATCCAGGAGCCAAGGAGTAGCCTTTCACAGAAGCATGAAAGGCAGTGTGTTTTCCTCTTTGGCCCCACTTACTTCCAGCTTCTCCCATCCCAGCTCATGAATCTCTGCTCTTTTCCATTCACCCAAGTATTTTCTGGTATCTTGCCTCTGCCAGGATATTAGGAAGAGAGACTTAACTCTTAATTTCCAAGCCACAAGACCCAATTTCAGTCTTGTCTCTGACACCTTAGACATCTCTTGTTTGTTTTCTAGGTCTCAGTTAATACATGTCTTATCTTTTGGGTGCTTTGAACGATTAAACAGATGCTGGGAATTGTTGTTATTGTACTAATATTATCATTTAATAAAATCTTCCAGATGGATTGCTACAAAGATGTGAAAGGCACCATCTTTGACTATGAGGCCTTTGCTATTAATGGAAATGAATACATTCAGTTCAAGCGGTATGTGGGCAAGCATGTCCTATTTGTCAACGTGGCCACCTATTGTGGTCTGACAGCTCAGTATCCTGGTAAGAATTCATAACCACATCTCCTTGGGACTAAATTTTCCAGTAGATTATATTCTATATCACTTGGAATTATATTCTAATTCTAATTATGCACCAAAATAAATGCTCATAGTTAAATGACTTCATCCTCCAATGTTATTAATAGAAGTCTGCAAATTATGGCCCAAATAAATATTCATAATCAAGTGACTTCATCCTCTGTTGTTGTCAGAAGTCAGCAAACTATGGCCCACAGGCCAAATCTGGCCAGTCTGTTTTTGTAAACAGAGATTTTTTATTAGAATGCAGCCATACTCATTTATTTACATACTGTCTAGGGCTGCTTTCATGCTCTAAGGCAGAATTGGGTAGTTGTAGGAGTAGTGGTGACAGAGGCCACATGGCCCACTAAGTCTGAAATATTTACTATCTGGCCCTTTACAGAAAAAAACATGCTCACCCTTTCCCCATGCCTTGCTTCTGCTTTGCCCTGAGATTTTCAGGAGATCAATATGTAGCTGAGAACTAGGAGCCTTTCAGAAGATTCCAAAAATATAGGAGAGAGAATCCATGTTTTCGAGACTTTTCCGAGATTTTACAGGTAACTTACAATGACAAGGAGAAGAGGGAAAGAGGGTTTATACCCAGAGCTGCATTTGACTGGAGTGAGAGCTGGGAAAGAAGGTGATTAACAGAGGCAAATACTCCCTCTCCTACCTCAACTCCTGCTTTGGGTGTAGTTTTCTCCCTCTCTCTTTGTCATATTTTAGGCAGTGTAGTTTAAAAAAACAATGAACAATGAACAGGATGAATTATACCAGAGACAGATGTATTTCTTATGTTTGAAGTAATAAGAACTTCATTTTTTATTTCTATTAATAATTATATTTCAAATAGGTAATATTTTCACAAGTTTCAAAATTCAAAAGGAACAAAAAATTTAGAATGAAAAGTCTCTATCTCCTTCCTCTCCCTACAGATGACCAACATTATCATGTTTACAAAATATATATAGTTTCTTTTTTCTGTTTTTCATAAAATTTGCTGCCTTGCTTTTTTAATTAATAAAAAATACTTTTGAGTTCAGACCATTTCCTTACTTTTTTAAGACTGAATAATATTTGTTAGACCATAATTTATTTTGCCAGTTTTAGGAACTTTAAAAATCAAGTTATTCATTTTCTGCTCTGCAAATAATAGATGAGGAAACCAAGGAATAGTTACTCAAGGATTGGAAAATAGGCTTGCTAATTTCTTGTCTCTTCCCTAAAGGAAGTGATTATCTGCAGTGCTGAAGACAAGAGGGAAAGGTAGGGGGAGAGGTACTGAGTACCTGTGAAAACAGGAAAGCAATCTCTATTTTTTTTACAAAGGATTAAGAGGAGATACCAGTTGGCTGAGCTGAATCAGTGGGACTGGCTAGCGTCTGTGAAGGGACTGAAGGCATCTAGCTCAGAGAGAGCTAGCAAAGTTGATTATGAAAGTCTGAGCAGACAAGTTGGAAGACTTCCTGGCAGTGGAAAAAGGCAATCGAAGCTTGTTTTTTTGGCATATCACTGAGGGTTTTTAGGTAGAATGCTTCCTTTACATCTCAAGGATTGTTGAAGAGCAGCAAGAAGCACATCTTGACATTTCTCTGGTTCTCTTTGTCTCTGTGAGGTTTACTTCTAGTCCACTCAGAGCGAGCCAGCCTGTACAGGGAAGAAAAGCTTTGTCCTCATTGTCTGTTTTCCTTTACAAAAGAAAGATTCGATCTATGAATTAACCAACCAGAGAAGGCCAACTGATGAGCAATGATCTTCAAACCTGGGTTTGTTTAAAAATCGCCGTTTAGGCCGGGCGCGGTGGCTGACGCCTGTAATCCTAGCACTCTGGCAGGCCGAGGCGGGAGGATTGTTTGAGCTCAGGAGTTCGAAACCAGCCTGAGCAAGAGCAAGACCCTGTCCCTACTACAATTAGAAAGAAATTAATTGGACAACTAAAAAATATAGAAAAAATTAGCTGGGCATGGTGGCTCATGCCTGTAGTCCCAGCTACTCGGGAGGCTGAGGCAGGAGGATCGCTTGAGCTCAGGAGTTTGAGGTTGCTGTGAGCTAGGATGACACCACGGCACTCTAGCCTACGCAACACAGTGAGACTCTGTCTCAAAAAAAAAAAAAAAAAATCGTCCTTTGAATAGTAAAGATAACGAAACCCCATCTCAGAGGAACAGAAGAGTTTCTCGAATGGGACCTGGGCATCTCTATTTTTAAGGAAGCCTTCAGCTGCTTCTGGTGTGCTGCAGGTTTGGGAAATCCTGCACTACAATAAAGGGCTTTTGAGTGCGTGTCTGAAGATCTGATGTCTAAATTCGGCCATGCCATGGACAGTCTCTCTGATCTAGAGGTGCCCCCTCACTGCCTATGTTTCCTTCTCTGTAAAATGGGAAACCCCAGGGAAAGATCCCTGCACAAAGCATAATCTCTAGCCAGGCCAATATGTTGTTCCTTCTGTATCCGCAGAACTAAATGCACTCCAGGAGGAGCTGAAGCCCTCCGGCCTAGTTGTGTTGGGCTTTCCCTGCAACCAGTTTGGAAAGCAAGAACCAGGAGACAACAAAGAGATTCTCCTTGGACTCAAGTAAGTGCCTGCTTGAAACACAATAGGAGGCCCCTGTCCATCTTCCCTCAGTCTCCAGAGGCCCTTCCAGCTCAGGACTTTCCTGAAGAGGCAGTGTGGATTGATAGGCTCAGGAGCATATGCAAGCCGATTTTAACACTGGCTTACCCTGACGAGAGCCTGGTAGTTTCCAGAGATGCTATCTCGATCCCTGGCTGAGACCTGGATGGACTGTGGAGAAGAGAGCACAGAAATGATGAGGGAACAGAGATGGGCTGTAGGATAGAGAGAAACAAAATGAACCAGGGTGCCTGAAGTCAAAAAAATGACCTTATTTCCCCACCAGCCCCCTCTTTCAGCCTTTTCTCGTGTCCTAGTGTCCTATCATAACCTTCTTGCTCACATTCTGAAGCTTCCTGGGAACGTTATGGCTTGTTGCAGGTATGTCCGCCCAGGGGGAGGATTTGTACCTAATTTCCAGCTTTTTGAGAAAGGGGATGTGAATGGCGAAGAAGAACAGAACATCTTTACCTTCTTGAAGGTGAGTGAATTCTTAGTCTAAGTCTCCTCCTCTTCCCTAATATTCCTAGGATAGAGTTGATGTGGCAGAACCCAAGGGCTTGTGCTTAAAGATGGATTGGTCTTTTTGGAGGAAATCTCCAGATCAGCATGGGATGGGCATCTAATCTGTTAGTATTTATGGGCGGACTCTGCCTTGGTGGAGAGAGTTGTGTGGAATGACAGCTTTTACTGCGATCACCCTCTTTTGCTCATTGATATTCATTCATTCATTCAAGGTACATGTAATGAGTGTCTGCCATCTATAAGGCAGGCTAAATAATAAGGATATAAAGATTAATAAGCTACAGTCTTTACATTTGATGAGCTTGTACTGGAGAAGGAGTTAGAAATCAACAGATATGATACAATGTAGTAGCACCTTTTATGAAACACTGATTTTTGGACATAGAGAATGCCAGAATTGAAAGGACCCTAAAAACCACCAGAATAATTTGTTCCTATATGCTGGACTGTGGACCAAGACTAGCCCAAATTAAGATTTTTAAATATCTTCAGTAAATTAAAGATAGAACAGTGTAAGAAGGATTTTACAAACTCATCTAACTCATAAGGCTGCCCTTTGTTCAAAGATTATGACCCATATGCAATTTATTTCTCCAATGGTCTTTTTGAATTAAGTGATGAAATGATGGTGTTTTAAATTCCTTTTCTTATTTGACACAATATTAGTAACTCAATATTGGTCCCCAAAAATAATTATTGACATGTTACTGGCCCATGGAACCCTAAGACCTGGGAAACCACATTCTAATCCAAGCCATTTACTTTGAAGAAAAGGAAACTAAAAGCTTGAGAGGTAACATATCCTGCCTACGGCAGCATAAGTTAGTGATGGAGTCATGAGGAGAAACTGAAAGAAGGAGCAGCCTTTTGCTACAACAGCTACAACATTCTTGGTAGTTGGCATGGTGGTGATTTAAAGAATATATAGGATTTGTTGGGAATAACAAAAAATTAAAATATGTAGGTATAGAAGGAAGTAGATTACCTGTGAGTGAAAATAGCCTGGATCATTCAGGAGCAGAAATAATGTTATTTCCCTTTTCCATCTCTTTGCTTCAGCAATCCTGTCCTCACCCCTCTGAGATTTTGGCCTCATTCCGATATATCTCCTGGGAACCCATAAAAGTCCATGATGTCCGCTGGAACTTTGAGAAGTTCCTGGTGGGGCCCAATGGAGTCCCCGTCATGCGCTGGTCCCACCGGGCTACAGTCAGCACAGTCAAGTCAGACATCCTGGCGTACTTGAAGCAATTCAAAACTAAATAGGAAGGCAGAGTTAGGGGCAGGAGCCATCCTACTTCTCACCTAAAGACTTGTTGCAAAAAAAAAAAAAATCTATCTTCTTGCCACACTCTCTTCCTAAGTGGCCTCCACTTCATTAAATCACCTTCATACTGCCAAACTTCTCACTCTCCACCAAGTAGATTTATATTCGGAAGGATACTGCTATTTCTCCTTGTAAGAGTATGTGGGTGAAGAATAAAAATGGAAATCCTAGGTCTCCAGACCTCTGCTACAAATTGAATCATTCATATGCATCAAAGGAAAATCCTCCTTCCACGAGAATGGTTCAGTCTGCTGTCATATCCTGAATATCAATGTCCCTAGACATCCCAACTGGGTTATGGTCATATAATCTAGGTTTTACTTTATAACATTTTTTTTGTCCCCTAGGACAAACATGTCTTGTCAGTTTCCAACTCTTTTCAGATCAGTCTTCATCCGTGACACGTCCCCTCACCTGCCATTCTTCTGTGGGAGCCCCAAGGTAGAGTGGGAGCAGGACCATTGCCTCACAAGAAGAGAGGGCAATGTTGGTGGGAACCAGAGCCCCTCTCTGTTTAGCCATACAAAAGCTTCCCTTATTATCTGATCTTTAGCACATTCAGGTTTTGGCACCTGAGCAGGAATGCCCTTTATGTTTTGAAGGATGGGATTTCCCCTCTCAACTCTCAGTTCCTCAGATTCAGAACCAGCCCTTCCTCTATGTCCAATAAAATGTTTTCTGCAGCATCTCTGTGGTGATTTTTTAATCTCATATTTTGCTTGAACTCATTTTATCTCTCTCCTCCTTCTCACTCTATCACAGATGGTGTATTACCCAGATTACCTGAGCCCCCCTGACAAAGATTTATCCTCCCAGATGTTTGAAATGTTGTCACATGATGGCTCTCAGTTGTCATCCCTCTTCAGGAATTGCCTCAGGCCAAGTTTATCCCCTTTCCAGTCTGTATCCAATTACTGGTCCATGAGGGATATAAAGGCTAAGTCCTGACTGCTCAATTTAGGACAACTTTGAAGGGCCATTCCAGGTGCAGAGACCCCCAAGGGGTAGGCCGATGGCCGTTCTTACTTGCACTGCAGCCCAATTCTTTCCTGTGACAAATCCTGCTTCTCTTCTTTGCTCCCCTCAACTCATCAGATATTGATCCTGAGGTAATGCTCTAGTGAACTTTCTGAATGCAAATCTCTACCTTAGAGTTTGCTTTCCAGGGAACCCAACCTACAGTTGTTGGTACCAAAAATGTTCTGAGAAAGAAGATGCTAAGATGAGATTTCGGAAGGGGAATTATTCACCACCTGGTCGATGAGGAGGCGATGGGTGGAGCACAAACAGCCACTGGCACAAAGTAGCAGTGCAGTTGTTAAAACTTTCACCAAAGTTGAACTGGTATAGTGTATACTTTTTGAAGGATATGTACTAGCAGATGTGATGTATCACGTGCTTGAGAAGCATGGAGGAGATGATAATTATAAGATAATAGAAGTGAATAACCATTGCTAGAGGAAATTGATGTTTTGGAGAGAAACAATTAAAGGTTGAGAATGATGTATCATTAGATTAAGGCTGGCCGTAAAGGTGTGCCTTTATGGAATCATATAAAGAACTTCTCATGTCCTACAACTTAAGGATACAAAAAGCATAGTTTCAGGCCCAAGACTTAATCATAGGAATATTATGTAGAACTCCAAAGAAAGTTAAATTCCCAACCTAGATAATTTTCTATGCCAAGGTCATGGCCTTGACTGGAAAAGAATAGAACCATGAGACATTGGATGGAGACTTTAGGTTTGATGTGTTAGAACATTCAGTTCTCCAGATTTTCCAGGACCCTCGAAACTTTTAGAAGTAGTCCACTGCTCCTTATTAAAGGTTGGGATATCCTTCTTGCTTGAAAACCATACAGATGACTCTGTCCTGTGAAACATTATGTGCTTCTGCCACCCACTCAAAATCTGCCCTGTACAGAACTAGATTCTAAGTGTTCCTGAACAAGGAGAGTGGAACATAAAGTTAGATAAGAAGAATTCATTGATATGGGTGCACACTCCCTGAATACAGACTTTTTACACATGGGCAAGAACCCAACACACTGTTAGGATGGCTACTGGTTAGAAAAATAAGTGGCTCTCACTAAATGTAGTAGAAATGCCAAAACTGTTGTGACAGATGGCAGAAATAAGAGATCCAAAGTTCAGAAAAGTGGGCATATTAGAGTGGATTTGCCATGTAATGCTGGGAAACCCACTAGAAGACTGAGTCACAGAAGGGCCAAAGGACATTCCGTTTGAAAAAATAAATAGGAATATGCTGGCGAGAGGCTCCATTTTTTTCATATTGTTTAATAACTGGAAGAAAGATTTTAAAATTTTTCTCTGTAAATCTTCAAAGAAAAAGCCTGAAAACGATCCTTTTGTAGTTCATAAGTGTGATGATTGGGTTTTCACACGCATGCGTGAGATGTGCCTCCCTTTCCCCGTCTTACGTGAAAAAAAAAAGAAAAAGAAAAAGCCTGAAATGAAATGTAACACATGCAAACAATGGCTTTCTCAAGATCCGAGACTTGAGAAGAGTTTAAAATAATTATCTTATTGTTTTTTTGCATTTACCTTAGCCTGTGTTGCATTTATACATTTAAAACAGTGATTTTGGCCGGGCGCAGTGGCTCACGCCTGTGATCCTAGCACTCTGGCAGGCCGAGGCGGGCGGATCGTTTGAGCTCAGGAGTTCGAAACCAGCCTGAGCAAGAGCGAGACCCCGTCTCTACTAAAATTAGAAAGAAATTATTTGGACAGCTAAAAATATATAGAAAAAATTAGCTGGGCATGGTGGCGCATGCCTGTAGTCCCAGCTACTCGGGAGGCTGAGGCAGAAGGATCACTTGAGCGCAGGAGTCTGAGGTTGCTGTGAGCTAGGCTGACGCTACGGAGGCACTCTAGCCGGGCAACACAGTGAGACTCTGTTTTCAAAAAAAAAAGAAAATCTACTAATATTAGTGTGTGGTATTTGAACCAGTGTGTGGTCTGAATGTGTCCCCCCCAAATTCACATGTTGAAATTTAATCACCAGTATGATAGTATTAAGAGGTCCTCAGAAGGTGACTAAGTAATGAGAGTTTTATTTAGAAACGTTGTTTAATAGAAGTTATGAGCCCTCAAGAATGGGATTAGTGACCTTTTAAAAGAGGCATGGGTTAGCTCTTCACTCCTTCCACCTTTCTGCCTTGTGAGAATGCAGCAAAAGACACCACCTTCGAAGCAGAGAACAAGTTGTCACCAGACACTGAATCTGCTGGTGCCTTAATCTTCAACTTCGCAACCACCAGAACTGTAAGAAATAAATTCCTGTTGTTTATAAATTACTCAGTCTAAGGTATTTTTGTTACAGCAGCCCAAACAGACTAAGACAAACAGGATTGCTTCCTCCCTATCCTCCTCCCAGCTCAGTGAGATGAAAACTCCACTATAAACCAGTGCAAGGAAGAACATATGCCTCCTTTACTCCCTAGCTCTCAGTCCGAGGGCCATTATCCTGGGGACACATGGCATCAACGTTTTTCTACCCTGTACCCAGCTACTGATTGCTGAGGTTCCAGTGATTGCAACTGAGAAGTGGTGGCTCCCTTTTCTACCCAACTCCTTCTCATGGAATGGAGGCTCTATCATGGATGTGGTACCACTGTGGATTTTGGGGCCCCAATCACCTGTGTCCCAGCAAGCAAGGCAGTGGTTGCATGCTGGTAGGGTAATCCCAAGCTCAGAAGACCTGAAGACCTCATTTCACCTGAGGCTTACCTGTTAGGCTTGCTCAGTGTGGGAACCCAGAAAGTATGTATAAAATGGAATGCGGTTATTGGAAAACTCAGATAGTGATCATAAAGCCTGTGAAACAATGGCTGCAGGAGTCTGGAGAGGCCGGAGATTATAAATCTAACTCTGACCACAGACAGTTGCAGAACCGGTTGCTGTTCAGAAAAAAATTCACCCTCCCCAAACTTCCATTCAAACCTCTTATAAAACCCACCGCTCCCCCCTTCCTGGCATGGATTCTCTTTTCAATCTCCACCCATCTGCACCTAGATGCTCAAATAAAGAGCATTTTGCTACACCTGAGGCTTCCATGCGTCTCCCTCTTGACTTTGGACTTAACATTACCTACTAAAGCAGAGGTGTTACTCAGAGAAAACCATGAATTATCCCTATCTTCAGCTTCAGAGCCTTAGCTCAGAGATTTTGCCTGAGGAGAAGGTGGCCATAAAATAGATAGCTCCTAATCTCTTCCCAAAGGAATTGACTTTTTGGCAACAGAGAATGGAAAAATTCAAGCCTAACAGTGATTTCAAAATCAGTGAAGGTTGTGGTAAATTCATTGGAGATATAGGCTAATCTGTAAGCCACCTGGTTTGCAGAGGAAAATCAAACACTGACCTCAGAAACTCTTCCTTCAAGGAAACAGAATTTGATTGGATTGCTCTGTAGAGCAATCTATACCCCAGGGAATTGTTAAAAACAATAGAACAATCAACCACCAGGAAGATAACAATTATAACCAAATCTATACCTAATGACAGAGCACCAAAATCCATGAAGCAAAAACTTAAATGAAGGGAGAAATAGACAATCCAACATTAATAGCTGGAGATTTTAATACCTTACTCTCAATAATGGGTAAAAAAACTAGGCAGAAGACCAGAAAGGAAATAGAAGACTTGAACAACACTATAAACTAACTACACCTAACAGACATCTATAGAATACTCTACTTGACAACACCAGAATATACATTCATCTCAAGTATACATGGTACATTCTCCAGGACAGACCATAGAAGAACAAAAAAGACATAAAACACATGGTGGTAAAACAAAACTTTATACACTTAAAGGAATCCAAATAATACAAAGTATTTTCACCATCCACAATGCATTAAGTTAGAAATTAATGACATAAAGAAGTTGAGGGAACTCACAAATATGTGGAAATTA